AGATGAACTGGTTTGCAAGGCAGAAATAGAGACAGAGATGTAGAGAACAGATGTATGGAAACCATGGGTGGAAAGCGGGGGTGGGGTGGTGGTGGTGGTGGGATGAATTGGGAGATTGGGGTTGACATATATACACTGAGATGTATAAAATAGATAGCTAATAAGAACCTGCTGTATAAAATAAATAAATAAAATTTTAAAAAAGATAAAAGAATCTTCCTTTCCTTTTGCCACTATGTTGTCTTTAGGTCAAGGAAAGTTAAACCTTCAGCTTCAAAAAGGACTGAAACCATGAAATCTCAGTTCTTATTATGAAACAAGTTTACCTTAGTTAATCGTGTTTTCGAAACTATCATCCTTCCTTGTAGTCTTACAAGATATATGATTCTTTAAGTATTCTTCCAGTTGTTAGGCTTGTTGCTTTTCCTACTCCATGGACTCCTTCCCTTCTTCCTTGAACTATGTAAAGGTCTCTTAACGGTGCGTAAGAATGGGTTCTGGAGCTCTACTGCCTGGCTTTATATCCTGGAGTGCCATTTACTATCTGTATGACCTTGAGCAAGTTTCTTAACCTTTCTGCTTCAGTTTTTTCATCTATCAAATGAGAAGAATAATAATTCCTATCTCATAGAGTTGTTAGGATTAAAAGTAATGCTTTGAGTTACGTAGAAGAGTGCCTGAGATGCAGTAAGCACTCAATTATCACCATCATCATAACTGTCCTCTTCTTCTTCCTCCTACTTGGTCACTAAGATATGTCAGTGTTTCTTTCTAGACCCTAGAGCATTGATTTTTCATTTCCCACTGACACTGACACCATTCTAGACCTAGACCGTGATATTACTACCTCATGCCACAGTTTCCAAGAGAGCTTCATGTAACTCATCTTGCCTCTAACACGTCCTTTGTGCTTGTGTTTTTCAGTACATGATAACAGTTTCTTATTATCACTCCCTGTTCCAAGAGCACACAGCAGTTTTTCAGTAACTTGTTTTATCAAGCCCAGACTCTTCTGTCTGACTCTGGCTTAACGTTACTGTCTTGTTCCATTCAGGCCAATTTCATATTTTCTCATTTACATCATACACTTGGACATTTGCTCATGTTTTTCCTTCAGGCTTTATTCCCTTCATGCCCTTACCCTTCTACTTACTATTTCTTTTCTGCCTATACTTCAAGAATCTAACGTTTCTAAGAAGGCTTTCTGGCATTTAAGAACTGAGCTTGGGTAGGAACAGCATTGGTAAAACTGGGAGAGACTTAGAGTACAAAGACAGGTTGATTTAGAGATCGGAGTATAGATTGGGGTTCAGGGCCTTTAAATTCAAGAAGAGTAAGGATTGAGAAGTGGAGGGATGTGAAGTGAGGGACAACTGAGAGCAAAGCAGTGTTGAAAATCTGAATGTCATTCAGGTTTGTGACAGACCAGGGAGGATCCAGATGGATCAGATGGTTTTTAAGGTCTGCATGGCCAGGCAAGATAGTGCATATCTGAACTGACAGGAGCCAGTGATGTTCAGATGAGGAACAGGTATTAAGTATCTGAAGTAGTTGGTATTGGTGTCTTGGGGACTGGAAGATTGGGGACATAACCGGTTAAAATAGAGCCCCTGGTTAGCCTAGAATATCAAGATCAGTGCAGGATGACAACAAAACTGAATCTGCTGAGCCACAGAACAACTTATATTACCTTCTGGATAAGATTAGAACTGGGTTGTGAGAATATTGCTATATTCAGGCAACTTGATAGGCTCCCTTGACAGAGGTGTAAGGATGGAGTGACTACCATTAATCTGACCAATAAAGCCTCAGTGATTTCAGTGTGCTTAGCATATGTCCCATATTACTTTACTCCTAATTAAGGACGCTACTATCTTGTATGGTTGTGATTGACTTATGTGAATCTCTTTTTTCTGTGTCTATATCAGATGAGTATCATTTTTGTGTTTTTTTTTTTTGCGTTACGCGGGCCTCTCACTGTTGCGGCCTCTCCAGTTGCGGAGCAGAGTCTCCGGACGAGCAGGCTCAGCGGCCATGGCTCACGGGCCCAGCCGCTCCGCGGCATGTGGGATTTTCCTGGACCGGGGCAAGAACCCGTGTCCCCTGCATCGGCAGGCAGACTCTCAACCACTGCGCCACCAGGGAAGCCCTCATTTTTAAAATAGAGCTTTACTGGGGTATGATTAACATTCAACTGCATATAAAGTATGCAGTTTGATAAGTTTGAAATATGTATACACCTGTGAAATCATTACCACGATTAAGATAATGAACATATTCTTCATCTTCAGAAGTTTCCTTGTGCCCTTCTTTCCCTCTCTGCCCTTCTCCCACCCTCCCACATCCACTGATTTACTTTCTGTCACTATAGATTAGTTCTTATTTTCTAGAATTATTTATTTTTATTTTTAATTGAAGAAGAGTTGATTTACAGTGTTGTGCCAGTCTCTCCTGTACAGCAAGTGACTCAGTTTTATACATACATATTCTTTTAAAAAAATTTTTTATTGTAGAAGTATTTAAATGGAATCATATAGCATGAACTCTTTTTTGTCTGGCTTCTCTCACTCAGCATATTTATTTTTTTACCATAATTATTCTGAGTGTGTCAATAGTTCATTCCTTTCTATTGCTGAAGAGTTATTTCATTGTATGGATATACTTCAATTTGTTTATCCATTCACCTTTTGAGGGACGTTTGGCTGTTTCTGTTTTTGGCTCTTGCAAATAAAAATGGGATGAATGTGTACAAATCTTTGTGTGCACATAATGCTTAAATATATATATATATATATATATATATATATATATATATATATATTTAGGAGTGGAATCGCTGGCAGGAGTTTTATGGCAGAAGTATGTTTAGCTTTCTTTTTTTTTTTTTTAAGAAATTGCCAAACTATTTTCCAAAGTAGTTCTACCGTTTTACGTTTCCTACAGACTGAGTTTCAGTTCTACATCCTTGCCACATTTGGTATGGTCACTCATTTTAATTTTAGCTTATTCTAGTGGGTGTTCAGTGGTAGCTCACTGTAGTTTTAATTTGCCTCTCCTCAATGACTAACTGATGTAGAGCCTTCTTTTGTGTGCTTTTTGCCATCCTGGTGTTTTTTTTTTTTTTTTTTTTTGCGGTACGCGGGCCTCTCACTACTGTGGCCTCTCCCGTTGCGGAGCACAGGCTCCGGACGCGCAGGCCCAGCGGCCATGGCTCACGGGCCCAGCTGCTCCGCTGCATGTGGGATCTTCCCGGACTGAGGCTCGAACCCGTGTCCCCTGCATCGGCAGGCGGACTCTCAACCACTGCGCCACCAGGGAAGCCCCCGGTGTGTTTTTTGATGAAAGTATCTGTTCACATCTTTTCCTATTTAACAATTAAAAAAAAATTGTAGTAACATAAAATCTACTATCTTAACTACTTTTAACCATTTATATAGTAGTGTTAAGTGCATTCACTTTGTTGTGCAACCAATCTTCAGAATTCTTTTTGTCTTGTAAAACAGTTACCTATATTTTTTAAAGTATTAGGTTGTTTTGAAATTTCTTTATATATTCAGATATAAATGCTTTATCAGATATATGCTTTTTCTTTATATATTTAGATATAAATCCTTTGTCAGGTATATGCTTTACAAATATTTTCTCCCAGTCTGTGTTTTGTGTTTTCAGTTTACTCTGCATCTTGAAATTGTCCATGATGGGAATGATTTAATCCACATTAATAGACAGATTGCTATAAATCAGGACTTTATTTTTTGTTGATTGTCTGTACTCAAGAAAAGTAATGGGTAAAGGTTAATAAGGCAGATGAAACTTAAAATTATGTTATGTCTGTAACCTTTACACTGTGACAAGCACGAAAAAATGAGGAAAGAAATATGCTTTCCAGTATTTGAAAAACTATTGTCTAATAAGCAAAGAAGTCATTCAAGTCATTGTTGAATGAGTGAAATTCAGACATATGTCTTCATTATTTCACTCTTGTCATTTGCAGCCATTGCTTGGCTGTGGGTCAAAGAGTTCAGCTACCATCAGTGAAAGTATTCTGGGACAATCAGTTGCCTAAGCTGAATTTGCAGTAAAGAGTATTTTATATTTTTTCATTGTTTGTCAGTTGTGTGATACGTCTTTCTTTATTTCAGTAAAATTTATAATAAGCTTATGTACATATGTATACAGTTTTTTCCTACAGAGCCATTTGTTAAACATTTACTGGCTGTACACTAAATAGTAAGCATTAAGGGAAATATTTCTAGACTCACATAGCTTGAGTCAAGAAAGAAAAATGAAGTTATGAAACCAAGTCATTGTATGGGTGATCAGAGAACCAATGTAAAGCTGAGACCAGAGGACGAAAAGGATGGGATGAGTAGTAGGGAGAGAAAATGAAAGGCATAATACACAGAAGGTCAGGTCAATTCTCTTACCACTAAAGACACAGAGGGACGTGAGTTGTTTCTTGTAGATTATTTGTTTTGCTCTGATTTGACTTGGTCTTATCATTTTTATGTATGTAATAGTCTGTTTATGGTATTGAAGAGGAATGTTAAGAGCTCACATATTATTAATGTTACATTAGCAACTTCAAATAAGCCTTGAATATTTCCAAATATAATTTTCCTTCAGACCAAATACTTTTTAACATTTAAAATTGTAACACAGGGGGACTTCCCTGGCGGTCCAGTGGTTAAGACTCCGTGCTTCCACTGCAGGGGGCACGGGTTTGATCTCTGGTTGGTGAACTAAGATCCTGCATGCTGTGCAGCATGGCCCCCCACAAAATAAATAAATAAATAAATAAAATAACAGTGGAACACAGAACAATGATGTGTTCCCTGTTATCTTCTATAAGTTGCATCATTATCTATCAATACATTGCTTTTTAATCTGTACACATAATGTTTACCATAATTATTAGATTTCTTTCAAAAGTTTTTTTTCCCCCAGAATAACTTGATTTTGAATCTGATGATTAAGTTAAACATTTTTTTGTTTTGTAGCCATGCAGGGTATACGTACTGTGGGTCTTGTGCTGCTCATGCTTACAAACAAGTGGATCCATCTATTACGTAAGTAATATAGTTAGATACCTTTTTGATTAGGTGGTTGGGAATTATAATTGCTTTGTCACTGAAGTAATTTGTTTTACATACTTATATACTTGATTTCATTAAGAATTTGACTTTATGAATTTGATTATACCTTATATAGGTTATGAAAAGCTTTAATACTATTTTTCATTATCTGAACATTTAGCTTCTACCTTCCCTTTGTTTGGTAAAATGTTTAGTTCTGGAAGTGTTAGAAGGTTAATACAGTATTGTGATTTATACGAAATATGTATTTGGTCATTTAGATGACCAAAATATATTTCACATATATATTCAGTCTTTTTCCACAGTTACTGGCTCACAGCTCCCAAAACCCTTGGAATTTCCTAAGTGGTGAGAATGGCAAAGGTTTTTCTTGTATGTTAATAAGGTGACTTTCGGACCCCACCTAAGCATGGGGCTGCCAGGTTGCCAGGATAACCAACCTTGTGTTTAGAGGGTTGGAATTTTCATTCCCAATCCCTGACCTCTCCTGGGGAGGGGAGAGAGCCTGGAGGTTGAATCAGTTGCCATCATGACTATGTAATAAAGCCCCCATAAAAACCCAAAGGGACAAGGTTCGGAGAGCTTCCAGGTTGGTGAACACGTGGAGATTTGGGGAGAGTGGCCTGCCTGGAGAGGGCATGGAAGGTCCTGGCTCTTTCCCCTTGCCTTGTCCTATGCACCTCTTCCATCTGGCTGTTGCTAAGTTATATCTTTTTATAATAAACCGGTGACCTAGTAAGTGAAATATTTCTCTGAGTTTTGTGAGCCGCTCTAGCAAATTAAACCTCTGATTTATAACCGGTCTGTCAGAAGTATAGGTAACAACCTGGACTTACGATTGGCCTCTGAATTGAAATTCAAGGAGGTGGTTGTTGGAATCGCCAATCTGTAACTGGTTGGTCAGAAGCACAAGTGACAACCTGGGCTTGTGACTGGCATCTGAGATGGGGGATGGGTGTGGGTGTGGGGACGTTTTTGTAGGACTGAACCCGTAACCTGTGGAATCTGATGCTATCTCAAGGTAGATAGTGTCAGAATTGAGTGTGCCCCCTCTTCCACTCACATGAACGCACACAGTGGAATTGGGTCCAGGAACATTAACAGTTAAATATTTTGGTTTTTAAAATTTTCTTTGAAAACCTGGAGATGAATACTTTTAAGAAAAATTCAAAGCCCTTTGTTCTATTTTAATCACTTTATAATTGAAAATTCTTTATTGCACATGCTAGGTTGTGTTTAATGAATGAAGAATAATTTCTCATTGACAGGATAAGGTACCTGAGTTATTTTAGAATCTGACAATGAATTTAATATGGTTTTTGAAGTATATTAGCTCTTAATAATTTAATGACAGCTCTGAAATTAGCTTAAAAAAATCTTTCTGTCAAATTGAGACTGAGTCGTATACTACTCTCTAAAATGAGAAATTTGTGAACTTTAAAAGCTTAGTATACCACTCTCTAAAATAAGAAACTTGTGAAATTTCAAAAGTTTCTGCTGGAATTAGCCACCCAAATTACTTAATTTGCTGACCAACATTTTATTTAAATAGTTAATTCACTACATGTGAACCAGTGTCAGGTTCTAGTCTATATTGCCAGTTGTACATACACTGTGTGAATAGGTGAAACTGATCATTTTAATTCTGTCAAATGTTGTTAGGTTAGACCCGTACTAGTAGAGATGAAGTATAATCATTCAGAAGTAACTCACAATAGCCCTGAGTTTAAAAAGAAAATCTCACCCACAGCCTACTCCTTTATGAGCAATTAGTTCAAATTGTCAAAGCAAAAAAGCTGCTCTCTTTTGTTTTTATGTAGTATGCTCTGCACATTTTATCAGGCCTTTATTGAAAATTATTTTTTAGTAAGTTTTTAATAATAAATAAAATGATAATATTGCCAGATTGAGGAGGTTTTGGTTAGCTCCACCTCCTTTATGATGTTTTGATGCATATCTTTAACAAATAATTCATAATACATATTTAATGTATAATTTTAACTTGTTTCATGAATAAGAGTAAAATAGAAATTAGATTGTAAAGCTTTTCAGAAGCTTCCTTTATTTGACCCTGGGCCTATAAACCAACATAATCAAGGCTAGTTTATATAACAGCCTTTTCCAAACCTTTTTCTATTTGGCAGAACTTTTATTGATGATGATATGTGCTAAAAGGGTACCCCTGAATTAAATTTGGCCTAGGAATATATAGAGAGCCTATATTGATATAAGTGGAAATTGTGTGTTAAATAAGTTGATGGACAGTGAGAATGGAAAGGAAAAAAATAATAAGGGAAGAGAGTCAAGGACTAAGAAGGTGACAATAAAGGAGATCAGTAAAAAGAAATGCAAATGATGGATGATGATGTGATCAGTTTATTTTTATAATTAGTATATAGTAATTGAATTCTGAATAAATAAGTGTGAAGGTCTCAGTGTTAAAAATAATCATGGACAGTCTTGTTGTATTCTCTTGGAAGTGGCCCTCCCTGAGATTTGCAATATCTTCATAGTTCTTTAAGAAAATAGAGAAAACATCCTTTTGGGAATAATAAGTATAGAGAAAAAATAACAGTCCAAGAGAGAAGGATAAATTTCATACCACTAGCTTCCATTCTTCTTTCCTGTTCCCATTCTCTACGTGTCAACCAGGATCATCTTTTGTCCTTAAAATTTGAATGGATCTTTTACCTTTGCATGATTTTGTAACATCTTGCATGAACATTTGGAAAATATTTGTTCATTGAGTCATGCAGATGTTTCAAATGTTGACATTTCATCATACGATGTAAAAAAAAATCACATTTGTTAATAGCACCATCAATTTCATGAGAAAAAATTTTAATTATTGGGAAGCTTTTTTGCAAAAGTCTAATTTTCACTTAAAAGTTTCAATTTTATCATTGGCAACAAATACGTCAAATATTTTCTTTGAAGTGTCAGGCTCATTTTGTTCATTTTCTAAAAAATTTCTGCTGGATACCTAAATTGGAATAACCACAATTTGTCTACAGTCATTTTTTTGAAGTAAAAATTGTGTTCCGTGGAAAAAAGTCTACTTCAGCTCATAACTCAAAATCACACAGATGCTTTTTCCTTGAGACATACTTCTGTATGCAGTAGAAGTGCTTTATGTGTTTATCACCACAAATTGAATGCATTTTGTCATACAGAATATTTTTATAAAACTGTACTCGAAGTTCAAAATTTAATGAAATTAAATGAAACTGGCTTAAAAAAAAATACAGCATGGGTGAAGGTGAAGAATACATGACTACTAGTACATTTTGATTCCGTTACCTTGGTTGTAGCCAGCAGTATACCCAGTCTTACTATTGTACTACAAGTGCAAATGTTAACGTGTTGAAAAGGCAAATAACTTCTCTGTATTAGTATGAAAATAGTTTTGATTTTGTGGACTCCTTGAAAGGTTCTTGTGAATTCACAGTTCACACTTTGCGAACTGCTGTGATTCAGGGTGATTGGATTTATATTGTGGATAAGGTATTGGAGAAGGCATCTCTGGGGAAATGATTTTTAAGCCAAGCAAAAGAAACAATTACACGTGAAGAAGTTTTGAAATAGGCAAAGATATTCTTGTTATCAAGGAACTGCAAGACCAGTGTGCATAAAGTACTGAGATCCAGCGGGGGAAGAATAATAACACAAGAAGGGGCCAGTTGATATGAGACTTTAGAACCCATTTTAAGGATTTTTGTATTTTATCCTCTGACCAAGAAAAGCCATTGAAAGACTTTTTAAGCAGGGAAGTGATATGATCTGATTCATGTTTTAGAAAGAATACTCAGGCTGTTTAAGGAATTTTAAAAATTATACATTTAATTAAGTTCTTTCCCATATTTAGAGTTGCAAAGTCTTTTCCTATTACTAAAACTTTAATTAAAAACCGGAACTCAGGATGTTACTTAGATAGTAACTTGATTTTGATTCATATCTTTCAGAAAACCTTGCAGGGCAGAAAAAGAATGCCAAAAGGAATCTTCTTTGGGGCCACATGACATTTTATTCTTTAGTTAAAATATCTCCACTTAACCATGAAACACTTTAAGAAAATTACTTGTGTTCCATTATTTAGTATAAGTAGTTGAATATTTATGAGAACAGACACTCAGGTAACTCATGTGTTAGGTGTACAGACTGCACTCCTCATAGTAGGTAACTCCACAAATGTGGATTATCTGGAAGTATTATTATATGTGAAATACATTTATTTCTGAAAGAATGCCTACTGATTTTTTTCTATTTTTTTATATTAAAGGTTTCTTTTACGTGTATGGCAACAGTGATTATATGCCAGTATTTAAAAGTTACTCTTTCAAGACAAAGAACTTTGTAATTAATTGAAGGGAGAGAAAGTGGCATTACTTTCAATGCCTGTATTACATTTCTCTCCAAAATATTTGTATGGTCTTGGTGTTTATGGATCTAGCAATCTAGGGGGAAAAATGCATTATCTTTTATTTACACTATTAATTGTCTTATAGCATATAGCTAACACAGAGACTCATTCTGAGATTACTACTTGTTCAATATCCAGTTTCTTTTTTCTTCTCTCAATGAAAAGAAGTCTTTTTTGGTTTGTTTTTGGGTATATCACTTTTAAGGGTTTTATATTGATGGGACCTAAATCTCTTTTTTCCTATTATCTCTCTTAACTAAATGTGGAACTTCACTATGTTGCTTTTGGATGAGTTTCAACCTTTGGGTACACAGTTGGATAATTCAGACTGATGGGACCCCTTTTCCCCACCAGACTTTATCTTTTCATCTAGGTTGGGTCTGACAAAAAGGCAAGCAATTGAATAGTCACGTATTAGAGGAGGCAGTTAGGCTTTCGAAGCTGACCTCGGGTCTTTATTTCTGGAGTAACGCTCATCTTTTAGCCACTGTTAGAAGAACCTTGTTATACTTACCTATGAAATATATCTATGCCTAGATTGATTTTTAAAAGTCATTTCATATTTTAATTATATATTCTGAATTTCCCAGGAGTGTTCTGATTTTAAATATTCTATCCCTCTCTCTTTTCATAGAAATACATTCCTCAATCATAAAAATACTTTTTTTTTCTTACTTGATTCTTGATTCATATAATACCTATCCTTAAGCAAGTTTCCTAAGCACTCAGATTTACCATTTTCTATGTCCCTCATTAAACTTTAATTTTAAAAATGTGGTGATATTTTTGTGCTGTTAAGATACAAGAACATAGTGGTATCTTTTGTTCATTTAGGAATCTATAGACCTGATTTTTTTTTTCTGAAATGGTTATTGAGTTGATCATAGAGATGGTGACAAGAAGTGGGTATTAGCAGGGGAGGCGAGGAAAGGGATTATGTTTCTGACTAGAAATGGCCTGTGAGTGAAGTCTTACATGTGGGCTCTGAGTGACATCTTGAGGATTGCAACATCTTGAGGAGATTTTGGGACTAAACTGAGAATTACCTTTTCCTTATCCACATCTTTCTTATCCACCCCTGCCCCCCAACACCCCATATAGCAAGTAAGATATAGATGACAGTAGGTTAATTTTCTTAGCTGTAATAGAATTCTGTCAAAATAAATATATTGCTAAAGCACACATTCCTTGGCCTGCAAGTTTTTGATGTGAAAGAGATATAGCTCTGTGATTCAGTCTTTGTGTTTTTGTCCATTAGATGAGCAATGAGTAGCACTTAATTTTCTAGGTATATAGCTTACATATATTCCTTTTTTTCTTATAGTTTTGGTTCTTTTGTGTCTGTAACTTTGTGTGTGTGTGTGTGTGTGTGTGTGTGTTGTGGGGAAAATTTTGTTCATATGAATCTGGGAGAAACAACGAAAATGGAGAGTTTGGAATTTAGATTGTAGAGATGTTTGAGATAAAATGGAGAATAAGTTAATTTTACTCTTGATGTTAAGATAAAAGGATTGTAAAGATTTAATCTACAGTTTAGCCTAGTTCTTTTCTTTAGCCTACAGTGCAAATAACACATAATTTTCTTTGTTTTTGAGAATGACTTCTACTTGAATGGGAACTGAGAAAGCTTATTACACAGAGTTCTCAACAAGATGCCTTTTTTCTCTGCCATGGAAGAAATGTAGAAATAGCTTTAACAGATGCTTCTTTGTAATGATATTTTGGATTTTTAGAATTTATACTTTTATGGATTTTTATTAATGTTGTAGGCAAGTTTAGAATTTGTTATTTTGAGATTTTAATAGATGAAATGTTTAAAATTCAATTAATACAGCTATTGAAAACCTTTTGTAGCCTAGCCATTGTGAATACAGAGGTGATTTTAAGCATAGTTGGTTGGTTTACTGTAGATAATCAGTAACTAGTATTCCCAGGTGTTAAACATGGTTCTTTTAAAGACCTTCCAACAAAAAGATAGAGATAAGTAATTGAACTTAATTAACTGAGGAGCAAGTCATTGGTAGGAACATTAGTTTGCTAGTGCTGCCATAACAAACTACCATCAACTAGGGGACTGAAACAACAGAAATTTATTTTCTCACAGTTCTAGATGCTGGAAAAGCCCAAGATGGTTTGGCAGGGTTGGTTTCTTCTTAGGTTTCTTCCTTGGCTTGCAGATGACTGTCTTCCTGATGCCTCTTCACATGGTCAATCACCTCTCTGTGCATGTGCACCCCTGGTGTCTCTTCCTCTTCTTATAAGGACACCAGTCATATTGAATTCAGGCCTCACGGTAATGACCTCATTTTAACTTAATCACCTCTTTAAAGACCTTATCTCCATATAGGTTCCATTTTGAGGTACAGGGGTTGAGACTTCAACGTATGATTTCAAGAGAACACAGTTTAGCATATAGCAGTAGGTAATGAACTCAATCAAGGAAAACAATATTACATGTAATTTTTAAAAATTACTTGTTTTTTCCTTTTTATTTAATAAAGTTTTTGTAGAAGTGCAATTGTTCTGTGTTTTTTATTGTATATCTCCTAGCCGGAGAATTTTCATCCTTGGGCCTTCTCATCATGTGCCCCTTTCTCGATGTGCACTTTCCAGTGTGGATATATATAGGACACCTCTGTATGACCTTCGTATTGACCAAAAGAGTAAGTATATAGAAATTTTATAGTTTGTAAACAGCTGAAGTTTTTACAAATAGGAACTATAAGTTAATTTACAGTTAAAAGTATTAGTATCATAGTAATATTTGAATTGTAAAAATAAAATTTGTTATAACTAATCTGCAAAAAACAAAAACTAAGAAAGAAAATCTTCCATATGCCTAAAAGACAACTATAGTTTTTCTGCCAGCCGCAAAAATCTGTCAGATCCGCTAGTCTTTGGAGTGTAGTGGTTACATTTATAATCAGGGAAGTACCATGTACTTGTTGTACAGTGAGACAAGAAATTGGTACCCATAACAACTTGTTGAAACATTTTGGGCATGTTTGTCTTCCTCTGTGTATAACAGTTCCCTCACCGTAAATGGATAATGGTGATAATGACTTTATATCCTCATATATAATTTTTATGGGAAAAAAATTGAGACCGTAGTTGTGAAACTCTGCAAGAAGGGTGCCACATAAATCTTAAGTGCATTTTGTTTTTAAAACATATCTATTATTTTGATTTTTAAATAGAATTCTAGAAATCACAGTTTTTATTTAATCATGTCTCATTTTGTACATAATTTTAAAAATACCAAACAATACAGAGACTACTATAACAAATACTCATGTACTTATCATCCACACTTGACTCAGAATTTCCCCTCATCTGAACTCAATTTGATTTCCCCAAAGTAACCACATTCATGAACTTGGTGTGTATCCTTCCAGTTCATCAAATTATATTTTAAGTACGTTGAGTGTTTTTATTGTTTCAAGAAATTTTGCAACAAATTCTTCTGTAGAATGAAGAAAGCCATTTGCAGAGGAAATGATCACCTCTTTTTCTTTAATTTTTAGGCCTAAATTTTCATAATTTGGGGTTTTAAGTATTATAGAGTATTAGCAATTTGTTGTTAGGATATAGGTTATTAATGAAACTAGCCTTACTCCCTGGAATGGTTTTAGGGTACACATTTTTCAAATATTTAAAATGCTTTTAAAATTTTTATTTTTTTCTTCCAGTTCTATTGAGATATAGTTGACATACAACACTACATAGGTTTAAGTTATACAATATGGTGATTTGACTTTACATACATCATGAAATGATAAGTTTAGCGAATATCCATCATCTCATATAGATACAAAATTAAAGAAATAGAAAAAAAATGTTTTTTTCCCTTGTGATGTGAACTCTTAGGATTTACTCTCAACAACTTGTATATAACATACAGCAGTGTTTATTATATTTATCATATTGTACATTACATCCCTAGTACTTACTTATCTTATTACTGGAAGTTTGTACCTTTTTACGACCTTCATTCCAATTCCCCTTTCCTCTGGGACACGCTTTATTTTTAAAACCTTGTTGGGGCATTCAGAAAATTTTGGTTTTGGATAGACTGACAATGAGGAATGGAGGATTTTTAATCAGGTATAATTTTATAGAAAAAAAAGTCATACCGTTATTTGTTCGTTTCTTTGTTATTGGTAAACCCATTTATGGATGTAGTTATAAAAATGCTGGTTTTGTTCAATGATAAAATAAAAATATTCCTATATCTTTTTTTACATATTTCATCATTTTCTTGCTATATATTGATAATATTTAGTTTTAAGTGGAATTCATTAGAAGGATTTGAATTACTAAATCATTTTAAAATTTTAAGATTATTTAAGGCATGGTACTGTGGTAAATTTATATTCCAGTCTATACCACGGGCTTAATTTTTAATGTTGAGGAAAATAGCATTCTCAGAAGGAATTTTCTTATCTTAGTATGACAGGAACCTGAGGTGTAAAATAATAAGTCTGTACATTGTATTAAAAAACAAAACAAAACTCAAAAACTATATTATTAACCTCATGAGTAAGTAGACCAGGGGATTTTTCCATATTTCAGTAAGATTTCTAATCAACTGTTCTTGTTAATATCTACAGATTGAATAAGGTCAAGGATAAGCTTAGACTCAGAGGTGATTTTAGATATAATGAAAGGAATTGATGAAAAATTAAAATTACTATTTTTTATGTAACTATGTAACATATGAAAGTGCTGAATAAATCATTACATGTCTTACTGTTTTGTCTGGTATGTAAGAAGCTAGTTGTTTTTTCCTTTTTTTAAACTAAAAATGGAGAATATTATGTGGTGCTTTTTGTCTCTTGCCAAAGCATGTAGTTTTGTGTTACTGGATAGAGTCTCACAGGGTAAGGATATACATTAATATATTTGTTTTACTATATTTTGAAATCTCTAGTTTACGGAGAACTGTGGAAGACAGGAATGTTTGAACGAATGTCTCTGCAGACAGATGAAGATGAACACAGTATTGAAATGCATTTGCCTTATACAGCTAAAGCCATGGAAAGGTATATTAATTAATATAAGAAATCCCAGAGAAATCATGGATATTAATTTCTTTGGAATTATTTTAACTAGGGTGAGATAATCATTAGGGTAAAGAGTTTTAAAATTTTTGTTGAAATGAAATAAAAATTTGGGATTGGATTTTCTGAATATGGATTGAAGTTGGTTTTGAGTAGTTTGCCTATGAAGGCTTAACGTGTAAAGTGACGTGGTTGTCTTATTAGGTAGAAATATTAAAAGAAAAAAACAACAACCCGTGTGTGTGTGTTTGTGTGTATTGATTTGCCTGTTATCTTATTCATTATACATTCATTTATCTCAGAGTAACAATTACATTCTTTCATGTTATAGTGCTATAAGTAAGTAATCATAAAATTTTAGATTTGGAAGTAACTTTGGAGGTAATTTATTTCAGCCTTATCAAAGTACATGAATCTCTATTATAAAAGAGATTATTGTATAATAATATATAATAAAAGAGATTATCTAAATATAATATAGATCTGTTATAAAAGAGATCTCTTTTATAAAAAGTGCTTGACAGATTCTTATTTGGTACCTGCTAAAAGGTCTTCTAGTGATAGGGTGTTCACTAGACTATAAGTAGAGTGAAGACAGGGACAATATCTATTTTGTTTTCCACTTATACCCCAGTGCCTAGCACAACGCCTGTCACGTAGTAGTCAATTTATTTTGGTAAAATGAAAGAATTGTTTTAAGAGCTTTCTTTCTTCTTTTAGGGCAATATTCAAATTAGGAAGTTTTCCTTTTATAGGTCACATTTCTCTAATTTTTTCAATCATTTCCTTTATATGGACTTAATATTCCATATGTAGTTTGACTAGTTCTAAATATGGTGAGATTATTCCTTCTCTGGTCCTCATTACTGTATTCTCTTAGGAAAATAAGTAGTGCATTATAGGTTTTCAGTAAATATTTGTCAATTAAATGCATTAATGAAGTCTGAGATTATCTAAGCAGTTATTATGCTGATATGGCTTACCTTACTATTGTATATATATACTGATATATACTTGTCTGATATACTTGTGGTCAGCTGAAACCCCAAGGCTTTTTTATACTGTTAAGCTGGATTATTTCTCCTCTTGTACTTTTGTGGTTGATTTCTTTTTAACCCTAAATGTGTTTGTCTCTTCAGTTATTTCTGTTTAATTTTTCCATGTTGCTTTTATTCCATTATTGCAGTTTTGGGGGTTATTTCCACTCTTAATTCTGTTATCAAAGTATTATTTACTTCTCTCAGTCTTATGTTATCCACATCTTTTCACAATGATAACTATGAGGAATTAACATAAACCTGAAGAAGTTTCCAAAAATAGTGTGATATTAAATTATAAGCAGTATAATTTTAGGTTAATTGTTTTAATACATTCTAATTCTTTAGAAGTTATTAAACCAATATAGGCTGTTTAAGTTTTGGAATCCTAGTGTAATCAGAACATCCCATTCTTCAACTACATAGGACAGTAGAAAACTTTTGTTATTTGCTGAAATGTTTGCATATTTTGTCATAAGAAAATATATTTTAGACTTAATAAATTTCAATACAATAGGACCAGTAAACTGCCAACAGTATCCTTAAGGAAGCTTTAATAAAATAACATTTTTGTTGTTATTTCAAAAGTAAAACAGGCATAATGTGGAAATTTAGGAAAATAGAAATTTGAAACCAGTGAACAAAATTTTTGTTCATAATTTCCTATTAAATAGTGTTAAATAACCACTTTTAAGTATATCACTTCTCAAGAAAACCTTCCCTACATCTCAGATTACATTAGGATTCCTAATACTGACTCTTAGAAAGTACCTAGTACTTTTCCTTTGTAGTCTTTGCTGCGCTCACTACCTGTATCAGTCTTTCATTACTGAGTAACAAATTGCCTCAACGCTTAGTGACTTAAAATCATAACTATTTTATTGCTCACAATTTTTGGATCAGGAGTTTGAGTAGGGAATACCTTGCTCTGGTCCACAAGATACTGACTGAGATGGCTGGAGTGGGCCTTGAGGATCCAAGATGGCCTTAGTGCTGGCTTTTACTTGAGACACCTCATCCGTTCTCTAGATGGCCTGTTTGTTTACCAACCAGGGCTTTTCTATATTCTTGGTTTCTCTGTAGGATAGTCTGGATTTCTTTACATGGTGATTCTGGATAACAAGAGAACAAAACCAGAAGTTTCTTGGCCCATTAAGGCCTAGGCCTGAAACTACATAGTATCATTTCAACTGCATTTTGTTTTTCAAAGGAGAAATAGATGCCACCTCTTGACAGGAGGAGTAGCATATGTGTACAGGAGTAGGAGGTATTGTTGGCAGCCATCTTTGCAGATGGCTACCACAATTCTTCCTCTGGTGGACAATTCACATTTCTCCAACATGGAGGGCACCCCCAGCTCTCCTAAGATGCCCAGAAATCTCATCCAGTTATGACCTCAGGTTCGAAGTCCATTATCTTATGATCTGCATTAGGTTGGGATATGGATGAGGCTCCTTGGGTGTAGCTCTTTTTGATTTGGATACCTGTGCACTAAGAAGGCAAGTCTCCCCCTCCCCCTCCCAATACACTCAGTATACAGTTTTGAGACAAGGACAGTAAAGCACAATAGTTACTTCCGTTGCAGAGTGAAAGAATGGGAAGCATGTAGTAGTCTCTGGTCCAAAGCAATTCTGAACTCTAACCAGGAAATAGAAAATATCCTTGATTATGGCTTGGTTCTGTCTTCTGGTAGTGGCTTCATAATTCATTACAGATGGTTCCTGACTTATGATGATTCCACTTAAGATTTTTTGGCTTTTTGATGGTGTGAAAGTGATACATATTAAGTAGAAACTGTACTTCGAATTTTGATCTTTTCCCAGGCTAGCAATGTGTGTGCTTACTCTCTCATGTTTCTGGGCAGTGGCAGTGAGTCGCAGCACCCAGGCAGCCTCATGATCAGAAGGGTGAACAACCGGTACACTTAAAATCCTCTGAACCAAGACAACCATTCTGTTTTTCATTTTCAGTACAGTGTTCAATAAATTACATGAGAGATTCAACACTTTATTATGAAAAAGGCTTCGTGTTAGATGATTTGCCCAACTGTAGACTAATGTAAATGTTTTAAGCACATTTAATGTAGGCTAGGCTAAGCTATGATGTTTAGTAGGTTAGGTGTATTAAATGTATTTTCGACTTACAGTGGGTTTATTGAGACTTAACCCCATTTAAGTTGAGGAAGACCTGTATTATTCTTAGCTCTTGACTGGATCCTTTCGGCTTTTGGCTCTCCTCTCTGAGTCATTTTTACTTTTCCATAAGAAATGGGCCTTGTTTGCATCTAAGTAGCAGTTTTAGTCTGCTTCATGTATGTGACAGTTTAAGAGCCTAAAGGCCTCTTTTTATTTGGAACAGTGTTTTGTTTTGTTTTTTAGTACAAACTGATTGAACTCCATTAAACACTTTGTGGGTTTTCTGTACATCAGATTATAAGTGCATTCCATTAGACAAAAGTCACATCCACAGTTCTTTCTGAGACAGGCTTCTTTCTACTTTGGATCTCAAGTTAGGGGCCTGGAGTTTCTTAGAAGCCCTTTTACCTGCCTGAGAGAGTATACAAGCACTGTCTTAAGTCTTCCTGAGGTCCTAATACATTTTACAGATGCGTTTTGATTTGATGCCTCTGAGCCCATGTTCTTGGTAGCACTGTGGATTTGATCTTTGTCCTTATGCTGTTTCTTTGACAGTTTTCTGCTATCTGTAGAGGCTAGCGATGAGAAAGTTATTTTCCAACCAAGCAACTCCTGGTTGGAAATATTTCTTTTAAATTCTGCTTATAATTCTTTAGCTCATGTTTTTCTTCTTGTACCTTCTCATACTTGGCTGTAAAGAAGCCATTGACACTTTGAATATTTTGTCTGGAAATCTTCTTAGCTATTTTTAATCTTTAAGTGTATTTTTAATCTTCTAAGTTACGTTATGCTAATTGTTCTCCCAGTAAATAATATGGATAACTCTATTTCTAGCCTCCTATAGCAGTGTCCTTACTGCTCATCCAGTTTCCAGGCTCCTTGTTGCCCTTTCAACTTCCACCTATCTCTGTGTCCACAAAGCCAGTATTATATTTTTTAGGTTTCTCTTACAGTAATACGCTTTCCAGGTACTATTTTTTGGTCTCAGTTATCTATTGCAGCATGGCGTATCACCTTAAAGTACCTTTTTTTTTTTTGTTTATGATTCTTTGGGCTAGAAATTTGGTCAGGGATGAGTGGCAACCAGTCATCTCTGTTTTATCTGCTGCCAGTTGAGACAGGTTGACTTAGGCTAGATGTTCCAAGGTGCTCTCACTTTCTGTTTGGGGCTATGATGCAGGTTGTCTGCTGGGCACCTTAGTTCTCATCTTGGTGCTATCTCCACTTGTTGTTACTCTTCCTTCAGGGCCTGTCTCTTACACATGGTTTCCCTTTCCTGCTGGACTATCCTGAAGTACATGGCAGTTCAGGGTAACAAGAAAACAAGTAGAAACTTCTAGGCCTCTTAATATTTAGGCTTGGAACTGGCACAGTATCACTTATGTTGCATTCTACTTGGCAAAGTAAGTTGGAAGGCTAGGTTCAAAGGGAAGGAGAAATTGGCTCTATACCTAATGGGAGGGGTGGCATGAGCATTCAGAAGTGGGAGGAATTTTGGTGATTATATTTGTAGACAACCTACCACAGTAGCACTGCAGTTAAGTAGTTCTTTATCTCCCTTCTCTGGTACTTCCCTAACCTATTCCCTACTCCAGGGCAGCTAGTCTACCCTGTATCTTCTGTACCCGTCTCAGTACCTGGTACACAAAAGGATCTCAATAATTAATTGTTGAATAAATTAATAACAATCTATTTTTAATACTTTTATTAAATATTTTTTCCAAAAATGAGATCAGTTTTTTTTTATTAACTGCTTTTCATATCATGAACCTATTTCCATGTCATTTTTTAAACTCCTTTTTATTGTGTA